AAACATAAATAATCAATTTGATTTCACATGGAAATAAAGTTTATCAAATACACAAAAATAACTGAAACTCCAAAAGAAAAAAATGAAGCCACAAAGGAGACAAAGATTAGATAGAAAAACGAGCAAATTCTTGAAGATGCAGACAACAATTTTTTTTTTCCTTTTATAGATTCTTCAAGCAAGACAAAAAAATAGATTCTTCAGAAATGACAACCACCGCCACATCCCCCGCCGCCGCCTCCACCCCCGCCGCACCCTCCGCCACAACGCGGGCCACAACCACCGCCACCGCCACGAGTGCACGCAGCCCCGCAACCGCCGGCACCGGACGTGGGGCCCGCCGAGGCCGCCGTCGTGGAGCCGCCGGCTCCCCGGAGCACGACCATGTCCCCGTCTTTCTTCTCGCCGGCCGTCGGTCGAACCTCCCCGATTTCCACGGCACCATCTCCAGGCGGCGGAGGATTCCCGGCCGGAGGCTCATTAACGATCTTCTTCGCCTGCGGTGGCGGCAGCGGCGGTTGCGGAGCTCTTGCCAGCTCCCACCGGCGGCGGCGGCGGCGGTTGCGGAAGCAGATTTCGCACCAGATTGCGAGTACGACCGCGGCACAGCCGCAAACGATGAGTGCAATTACATATTTTTTCATCCTTTTCAACTATCTGACGTTTTTCCAGTTGATGCTACAAAAGATTGATTGTTAAAGCAAAATGCCAGCTGACTTTATGCAGATCGAGGAGTTGATTTTCAGCTGATGTTGACTTGGTCAACTTAATAAAATTTGAGAAGCGGACAGGAAATTTCAGACTTTATTATTATTATTATTATTATTATTATTATTATTTAAAAAACAGAGGCAAAACGTCGAATATTTTGTAAAATCCATATATATATACCGCCGCCTAAAAAATTACGATTTCAGTCGGTGCCGCCGCCACAACCACCGCATCCACCGCCATCGGCACCACAGCCGCAGCCGTCATCCCCCGAACCGCCGACGTCTGCCGCCAACGTCACGGCCGTATCAATATCAAATTCACCTTTTTTGCCGCCCGTCTCCGCATCGTGCGATGGATGACCCGGCGGCAGGGAAGTAGTCGCCGGCGTCGGGCTTCATTCATCAACGTTACTGTTCGAAAAGACTCGAAAAGAGAATTTTTATAATTTTTTCTACAGTTCGACTCGTTAATAGTCAAACTCAGAGCATCTCCAATGCTTAATGTTGTTGTGGTAAATTATATGCCACATAAACATATTAATAATATCACAACTTTCCATCCTCCAATGTATAATGTGATCACAAATGTTGTGATGATGTGGACATAATTAATGTCTACAATGTAGAGAAGAATGTGATTTATCCACATTTTCCTCTACACCCTAACTAGCCAATGAAGAGAAGATAGAGAAGTATTGTTACCATTCTCAAGCTATTTAATTATTTAATTAATTTTTAACTTTTTATTAAAATTTTAATAATTGGTAAATAGATAATATTGTAGTTAGACTACATTGTGCATTGGAGATGATTTTTAACTTTTATAGTTGTGAACTTAACATTATTCCTACATGGTTCACAATCTATTTAATTTATTGACATTTGTCATAATTTAATCTATAACAACATTATAGCATTGGAGATGCTCTCAGCTCATTAATAGTTATAAACGAGCCGAACTCAAGCTCAATTTCAGACACTTTTATTTAACGAGTCGAGCTCGAGCTTCTCGACTCGTTTACAGGCCTATTTGCATCCATACTCATCGCACTCCTTTTTTTACATATATTGAAGTTAAGCTAGAGATCTTGGAGTAAGGCTTCCTTTTAGCTTTGCTATTAAGTTACATTTTCTTTTTTACCTTTTCGTCCCCACTTCCTTTTCGCCATTATCGAATCATATACACAAATACCCATATGGATGTGTTTTGATCAAACAGTGGTCAACTCATGTGAAGAGCAAAGTTACATTTTCCTTTTTACCTTTTCCTCTCCACTCCCTCTTCGCCATCCTCGAATCACACACATACCCATATGGATGTGTTAGATCAGACATTATTGGTACAATGGATGGAATTTGCCCAACTGGAGAGGGAGTGTTTACTTATCTCATTAATTCACCTACAATTAATTTTGATCAGTCAATTAATTCTCTAATTACCCACAAGAAACTGTAATTAACATTAGCCACAAGTAGATAACAATGTCCATACAAATCCACTTTCAAATGGTAGAACATGAAAATTTTACATCTCCATACAGAAATTTTCATCCTTGCTCCTCCCCCCCAACATTCTCTGTAAATAGTTAGTCCCCATCACCTTCATTTTTCAAATTAACCACAAACACTAGCTAAAGAGTAAATTTCAATGCAATCAATGACAGCCTACTTAGCATCCAGGTCAAGTCACACAAAACTTAGAAGCTTTCATATTCATAAACAAAACTCAAAACCCCCAAATATCCACAACTACAAATAGATGCAAACACATCAATCAATCCTCACCAAATCTACTCTTAGAGCCAAAAAATAAAATAAAAAATACAGCAAAATGACTCAAGTTCCAAACTCCCTCAACTACCAATATTTTCCTCCGTCGCCACCTTATCCGTTTCCCGGCCCGCCATTCTTTCCGCCACCCCAAAATCCTCCACCGTCGCCACATGTGCCGCCACCTCACAACCCTCCACCGCCGCATGTACCGCCACCTCCTCCGCTGAAACCGCCTTTTTCTCCTCCGCCGCCACACATTTCTCCACCACCGCCACCACATTTGCCGCTACCTCCTCCGGTGAAACCGCCTTTTTCTCCTCCGCCGCCACACATTTCTCCACCACCGCCACCACATTTGCCGCCACCTCCTCCGGCGAAACCACCGAGCCCCCCTCCTCTGCCGCCATCCCCTCCTGGAAACCACCCGACAGTTATAATTGTTGTATTCATCTCGTTTGGAGGGCTATTCTTCCTCGCGTTCCTTGCAGCCGCACTTTTCTGCTATGTCAAGAAGAGAAAGAAGAAGATTGTCGAGGAAGACGATAAGTTCAAAATAGACGAGCACGTGAAAGTACAAGAATCAGTTGTCCCGGGTCCAAATGGGACACAGATGGTCGTGAGGACAATCGACGAGGATGTGCACATCGAGGAGGAAATCAAGAAGAAGGGTGAGGTGAGTGAAAGGAGCTCGCATTTGAAATCGGGATTTGTCGATTCGACATCCGAGCCTCACTACCACCACCACAATCATCATCATGGTCGTGATTACTTGGAGTAATCTGCAATTAATACAGACTTACAGTCGCACAAAAAAAGTGAAAGCTTGTTATAATTTCCTTTCCGGGTTCGATTTGTAAAGAATGAATAATGTATTGTTTTATTTGATTGTTCGAAGTGTTAGAATCATAATGGATGATTTGTAAGAACCAGACATATATAACATTACTGGAAAACATCGTATTCTTGATTCAAAATCGATCGGGAGCTAGAATTTCTTTTTTTCACAAGTATGGATTGTTCAGTGTCAAGAACATAATGGATGATTTTTAAGAACCATACACATATTACATTATTGGTAAACACCAATTTGTTGACTCAAAATCAATCGTGGGACAGAATTTCTTTCCCACAGGTATGAAACAGAACTGGGCCGATTATTTCGCCGCCCATTCAAATTGACCAAATAATCCCAGAAACAAAAAATATTTGCCAGCTGCATATAAACCATGAAAACACAACAATGGTGGAGAAAAAGGGAATCAGCTGTAAATAGACATTAAAATCAGGGGGTTATTAGCATTTAGCAATATCTTAGAATCTCGGCACAAGCACAAAGAAAATTTGGCCGCACCAGGAAAAAAATTCTAAAGACATTAGCCGCTGTAAAACACCCATCATCAGTACCTGCTACAGCTCATCATATCCCTAAACCCACCAATACCTCAAATTTTTTGCGAAAAATAAAAAATTAAAAACATAACAATTCAAAAGATTCAAAAACAATGACAGCCCATGATCAGAAAAGCTGAAGATAAACATAAGCGCAGTCGAATGGGCAACAATCTGCCAAAATATCGCTTTTTGAGCATTGATTAATTTTCAGATACTAATGTACGAAAAACAGAAATCTTTATAGAACCTGGATTCTGAAGAAACACAGCATAAACCCATTTGAGCATTCGGAGCTCCATGGACGGCGGCGAGGAGAAGGTTAGAGGACGAAACTGAAATTCGCCGCCCGTGGCATCCCAACTCGATGTCTTTGTCTAATTACCTTTGCTTTGGAGTAATGGGCTTGGTGTGAACTTGGATTGGGCCTAGGATAGGGTGGCCTGAACTGTAATCCGCTTTGGGTATGTGGATATATAGCCTTTCAAGAACAAATGCTAGTTGGGCTAGCCTGCTACACAAGTTAAAATCAAATATCACACACACTAATTAAATTGATTTATTTCCCCCAAAAAAAATTATATCCGCGAAAATAATAGGAATTTTGGTCTGTAAATTGAGAGTTGTGGATAATCTGACGTGGCAGCATTTACGCCATTGAAGAATAAACCGGAGAGAAGCACAGTACCAACTCAAAGCAGTATAAAATAACCTGAAAAGGCATCACCAAATAACCGTGAAAAAATGGCTGCTCTTGACCTCTTCAAGCTCTCTTTCCTCATCAGCGCCCTTTTCTCCGGTTCCGACCCGGCTGGATCCCCGCCAGGAAACAACGCCGCCGGCGTCCGGGTTTTCCCTCCGACGTGCAGCCGCATCGAGTGCCCGAGCTACGACATCGTTCACGCCGGCGACGGGTTCGAAATCCGGCGGTACGATTCCAGCATGTGGGTTTCCACACAGCCCATTGAAGACGTTTCCTTGGTCAACGCCGGAAGTATTGGCTTCCTGCAGTAAGAACCCATTTTCCCCCTTCTCGTCATTTTCTTAACTTTTGGTTCGTTTGATGCTTTTATTAATTACAGTCATTTGTTCTTGTTTTGTGGGTATGTGTGGTGTGTCATTTCTGGGTTTATTGATAGATGTAAACCAGATAAGTGTAGTGGAACGAGCTGGGCTCGGCTGGTTACGAGCTCGAGCTCGTTTGAAGCTTGCTGAGTCAACAAGCCGCTCAAAAAGAGGAACTTCCACATAATTTTCTGAAGTTGGGCTCGTTAAGGCTAGACCTTGACTTGTTAATATTGATAAGCTAGCCATGCTCGAGTTCGAGCTCGATTACTGGCTCGTTAAAGGCTCAAGGTCGAGTACCATGAGCTCGAGTTTGGCTCGGGATAGGCCTTATTTGAAATTTTGTGGACATTCAAGTTTCAAGTATGGTGGATGATCTTGTTAATTTTTTCTAGTTATTAAATTGAAGTTGAAAGTAGTGAACTTTTTAGTCCAGATGATTATGAAAACTGAAATCTTTTTCCTAAATGAGTTTGGACGAGCTTTGCGTGAGGATTTTCTATTGATATTTGGTTCACATTTATGCTACCATCTTGCATTAATTTGCGTTTGTGCCGGGTTATCTGAGGTTTGTACAGTCTTGAGATTGGATATACATATAATCACTTGAGTTTGGCTATTGTAAGTTCGCAACAGCCTTGTTTAGATTGAGCTCGAGTTAATTATAATGCTACCGTAAATTAATGCCCGAGTGATAGTAGTCCATTGCATTAATCGAACCGTTTTCATGCTTTCGTTATAGTGATTTGTTTGTGCTACGCGTAAATGAGTAACACCAATTGGTTGGTTTAACTTGGATATGCAAATGGTATTATTCACCAATTCGTATTAATCGGCATTATTTTTTCACACCACAGGCTATTCGCCTACATCCAGGGCAAAAACGAGAACAACGAGAAAATCGAGATGACTGCTCCCGTTCTCACTGAGGTCAAACCGAGCAACGGGCCCTTCTGTGCCTCGTCTTTCGTCATAAGCTTTTACGTCCCGAAACAGAACCAAGCCACGGCCCCATCAGCAGAAGGCCTCAGTCTCCGAAAATGGGGGCCTATTTACGTGGCCGTGAGGCAGTTCAGTGGGTTCGCAAAAACTGATGATATCGGGCAAGAAGCCGCCGCTTTGTACGCTAGCCTTGTGGGGACCACTTGGCTCGAAAAAATCAACAATAATGCCACCTCAGAGTACATTGTCGCGCAGTATAATTCCCCGTTCGAGTTCAAAAACAGAGTCAACGAGATTTGGTTTACTTTCGATTTGGACAACGAGAGCATTGTGGTTTGAAGAAGTTTTTCTGATCTTGCAGCTCCTTGTAATAACACCAACCCTAAATCTACATTGTAACATATCAATTTGATGGGTTCTTGTGCGTGCACTCAATCTATTGCACTTTTTGTTGAATCCATGCCAAGAAAATCCCAGGTCCACAAAAATATAATTCCAGACATTTCAAATTGGACTTGGATCCGTGGGCCGACCCATCTCACCCTAACTAAAAGATGGGCCGAGCTGAAATTTCGAAAGCCCACTAAATAACGAGCTAGTCTATACACGGGCTGCGGGCTTCACGGGTTGGCCATGGGCCTTAATAAATAAATCACATTGTAAATATATACATATCTATCTCTATATATATAACAAGAATTATCATTTACCAAAAATAGTAGCAAAAAAATAGGTCATAATTTAACGTAGCCTATACATAGTAAGTTTTATTTTTTCTTATTTTTTTCTTTAAAAATCATACAGTATTAAATGCTACCTTAAATTTCGGGATTTAATTCATTTTATTATTTAAAAAATCCGGCTAAGATTTATTAAGTGTGTATGTTTTTATTTTTATTTTTTTCTTACAAAAAACGAACAACATTAAAATCTCGGTCTCTATATTTATAAAATCCCAATTCATAATATAACAAAAGTTTAGAATCTCGGTCTGTATATTTGTGCCTTTAAAAAAATATTGAACGCTAAAAATATTTATTAAATTGCATAATTAATCAATTAATCTAAATTTTTTGAAAATTATTATGTTTATTTTATTAATATGCATAAAGTAAAAATTATTAATTTATCTTTATATATATAATTTATAATCTTAATATACTATCATTTGGTGTAGACATTTATTATATGAATTATAAAATATTTTTATTCCATAAAATTAAAAATATTTAAAGAAAATAAGAAATTTCTTCGGATCAATCGGGTAATTGAATTAGGGTACTGCACAGGTTGATTGAATTACTTTTAGGTGATATTTAAAATAGTCCAAAAACTTGACACAACTTGGTTGAACTCAGGTGACTAAGTTACGTATCAGTTCGACCACACAAAATCGATTATTGAACCTAAATATAAAATTTATATTAAAAATATTTTACGTGAATGTGATGTAGTCCAAACTTCAAATAATCTTTTTAACAATACTTTTATGACAACATGTTTAATGATTTATGAATATTTATATATCATTTTATTAATATTTATGTAAATTAAATAATATTTTATTATAATATTTATTAATGTATAGTAAATATCACTGTTCTAAAAATCGGCCTAGGCGGCCGCCTAGGCAGCGCCTAGGCGTTAGGCGGTGCCCGGGCGCCTCCGATTTGCACAAATCGGCAGAAAAAATCGGCCAGGCGGCTAGGCGGCCCTAGTCGCTCCTAGGCGGGCTTGGCGGCCAGGCGGTTAGGCGGCGTCTAGGCGGGCATAGGCGGGCTAATTATATTATTTAAATACTAATTATATTATTTTGTTCTAATATTTTCTTTAATATATATTAATATTATTATTTGGACTATAGTGTGTGAATTTATTATAAGTTGAGATAACTTTATTTTGTATGTAGTTAAAATAAATAAAAATAAGATATTTAATATTGATTTATGGGCCCCGACTAGGCGCCGCCTAGGCTCCGCCTAGGCGCTAGGCGCTGGTCGAGCGCCTAGCGGGCGCCTAACGACTTTTAGAACACTAGTAAATATAAGGTTTTCAGAACTGGACCGTCATCGAAACGATCAAGCTATTTTATTAAATCATTTGTGGTTTGTTCAGATTTTAATTTATAAACATTTTAGTATATATATATATATGTATATATATATATAGTACTTTTTGTAATAAATTTAAATAAAATGTGTTACTTAGATATCTAAACAATTTATAAATTCAAATGGTTAAACTAATTGATAAATAATTTATAAATCTCTATTTTATTTGAATATGCAATTTTATTTAAAATAATTTTAAATATAACAAAATTTATTTAGAAATTCGTATTGATCTTACCAGTCCAACCGACTGGTGTTGACGGATTCGAGAGCAAATATTTTATTCAAGCGAACTAAACTGGTTATAAACCGGTTCTCGGTCCATCTGGTCGGACTGCGTTCAACCCGGTTTAATTTAAAAACAATGAATAAATCATGATTAAGGTTATTTATATATTTAATTTATAATACAATCGTAATACTGTTTTCTCGTGCATTGCACGGGCCACACATTAGTATAATCAGTAAAGATGCTCACAATTTTAATGTGTTCAGGGTAGATAAATCATAGATGAGCAATCCAGATGATGCTACCCCTTTTAATTAGATTTATATACTTTAATATTTAAATATCATACTTTAGAAGATAACACAAATAAAAATATGACTTTTTTTTTATAATATAGTATACATTTTCATTAAAAAAAAGTTATATAATTGTGTAAGGACACTAACGACATAATTTGTAACATTAATGATTTATCCAAGAGGCATTCGATTTAGATTTTAGAGAATTAAATATTATAATAACACAAAAAGTCCTAATTCAAACAAGCTCTGAATCCCAATCGAGTCGGGCAAATGCTATAGACCACCGGTCTATCGTCCACCACCTCAGTCACCGGAAACCACCACGAGACCACCGAGCACGGCTGCAGCCAATAAGCTCTTGAGCAATATTAGTCATCAAGAATCAACATCTCTTTGAAAGTTTCATTAATTTGAGGGAAAAATAATAATAAAATAGAAAAAAGTGCTCATCTAGAACTATTAAACTTATCACCTTTTAATAAAATACAAAGGCAAACATAACATATTAATGAAAGTCACCAACCCAGTACAGTGTTGAGGTGGGAGGTAGCATCACTGACACATTATCATTGTGTTTACTTTTATATATAATATGAAAATTTGTTATTATGTAGGTATTACTATTTAATTTAATTAGGACCCACGGAGTATGTGCCATAGATGTGTCTTCATATCTCAAAAAAGTTCACCATTATGATGTTGTGCTTTTAATATTAAATCTTTAGGGCATTAAGTTTATTTGAATATACTCAAATTCCTTCTAAACAAGCAATTTATGTTTTGTATAAATTTGCTTTCACAACCTGTTTTCCCTAAACCTTAAAACACACAATACCTTTAGTAACCGATCGAACAACTAACTTGGAACGGTCCTGGTCCCGAGTCGACTGGTTCTCGAGTCGACCCGTCGGGCTGGTACGACTTTCAGGGAAATGTATATCACATTTAAATCCATATATGCCGTCTCTAAAATTCATTTTTTCCAACCACTTAAAACTTAAATATGATATGACAACACATCCATATACATCAAATTAGACTTCAATCCAACGCCTCAAATTAAACAAATTCATTGCTAGGTTGATTTCTTGACTCGAAGTGTGTGTAAAAGGTAAAGATCAGTCTTTTCCAAACTTTTGCATTTAGAGTTAGATAAGATTTAAATAGGCAAAAATCTTTGGCCACCTATGCTGTACAAAAAATCATTGCACATTAAGGATTAGACATATACCTTATCCTATTTAATATTTTTTTTCTTCTCGCTCAAATGTAGGAAGTCTAAGTCACAATTATTTTCATGAAAAAGTAATTATAACCTTCGCACATCTGTTTTATTGACTGGGACATTATCATTATTAACCTAAGGTTTTAAGGATTTTGTAGTTCAAAGTAAGCACAAATTAAATGGCCTCAACTAGGTTTGGGATATCTTATCTAGAGAACTAATGTAAGGGTCAAATTATGTCACATTTGNATCTTTTTTATTTTTATTTTTTTTAACGCGGACATTATCATTATTAACCTAAGTTTTTAAGGATTTTAGTAGTTGTTACATATGGCTGGGCACAAATGATCTCAACTAGGTTGTGATATCTTATCTAGAATATCAATTTAAGGGTGAAATTATTCGTCACGTTGGAAAAAAAAAAAATGCACTATTTTTTTGTTCACATACGTTTGTTCCTTTTTATTTTTTATTTCTTGAATTAAATTTTATTAGGGGTATAAACGAGCCGAGTTGAGTTTGAGTTCCTAATTATACCCAGGTTTGAGCTCAGGAAAGCTTTTAATCGACTCGACTCGTTAACTAAACACACTTTAAGCGAGCTTGATAAACGAGCCAATCAGGTTCGAGCTCAAGCTAAAACCTTTTTTCGGCTCGACTAGTTAACTAAACAAGTTTTAAGCGAGCTTGATAAATGAGCCAATCAAGTTTGAGCTCAGGTTTGAACAACTCTAGATTTTACATTTTCACTGTATTTTTTCCCCTAATGATACGACATTATTATTTGGAAGTCGGCTAAACAAGAATTTTTGTTCCTTTCTCCTTTATCCTTTACAGTTGGGTAAAATTCAGTCTGATTTTGTTTACATCTCCATAAAGGTAAGATGCGATTAAGAACGAGAACATTAATGTAGTCAGTGCTTTGGAACTTAGATAAAATTAGATGGCATTCAATTTATGACGTTGGTTAGATGTCACAAGCTACGCAAATGACATCTACAATTGAGAAAAGCTCAAAAGCATTGAGAAAAGCTCAAAAGCATATATTTTTGTTATTTAATTTCTCATGATATGGTGACTTAGTGAGGCATATTTTAAATTGTATTATTAGTTTTAAAGAATTAAGGCTAAATTGCACATAAAATACCAACCTTTTTGCAAATAAAACTCAACTTATTTAAGTTTGCAATTTAATTCCTCACTTTTTTGTTTTGTTGCAAATGAAGCTCCAACACAATTCCCGGCCACAACTTTGATGAGCTGTCCGGCCAGATGTTGATTTGGCAGTCAAATACAGGCAAAATCATAAACCGACGTGGCAGGCAAAATTTCCACTTCATTACATACAAAGTCAGATTTATTCTTTCTTCTTCACAAAATCGAACGAGAGCTAAAAATAAAAGAGAAAACAGATTCTTCACAGAAGCAGAGCAAACAGCAATCGATCGAGCCCTAATTCCTCAAAACCCTCCCTGAATACCACAAAGTCAAAAAAATTCAGCTTACCCGAAAGCTTTCGACCACTCCTCCAAAATTTTGAAAGCAGAAATTTTGAAAAAATTCAGCTTACCCTAAACCCTAACCGATCGAGCACTCTTCCCAAATTTGAGAAGTTGTAATATATGTTAACATTTCAAAGAAGCATATAAGATGGGGAGCTCCGAAAAATTGGTTGTGTCATCGATGGAAAGCACTCTCCTCTGCTCGATTGATTTTGTGAATAAAAAGGTTTGGGAATTAGGGCTCGATATACTTTTTCTCTCCCCTGCTCGAACGATTTTGCGCAGAATGAAAATTTGGGAATTAGGATCGATCGATTTTTTTCTCTCCTCCGCTCGACCGATTTTGCGAA